ATGCATACTTACACACACACACACACACACAATCACATTCATACATCTATATGCATCCACACTAATACATACACATATGTTCACTCACACATACACACATTTATAATACAAATACACTTCACAGATTGAGCACGCATACACATACTCATGGGAAGGATAGAGGACTTTGGTGGCAGTGAATCCACATCACTCGCCAGAATGGCAGACTTATGAATTAAGATCGGCACAGCAAAAAACGAGACGCACACCAGACACGCCAGAAGACTTGTTAATCAACATAGAACTGGTACTATTAGCCATCGGACGTTGGGGTTCATACTGAGGGGAGGATCTGAGCACCTATGGACATGTCCGGAGTGCAATGAGGATAACCCAGCTAGCTAACTAACTAACTAACTAACTAACTAACTAACTAACTAACTAACTAACTAACTAACTAACTAACTAACTAACTAACTAACTAACTAACTAACTAACACACACTCATGCATACACCCACATTCATATATACATACCCAAGCATAGCCCCATGTATACGTACACACACATACATACACTCACACAAATTCATAAACACATTTACATATTCAAGCACATGTGGACGCATGCATGCACACACACCCAACATACTCAAGCATACCCATAATTATACCCATACATCCACACACTCAAACATACCAATACATACCCAAGCACCCATACATGCACACACCCCCATTTATACATAATACTCATAGATACACAAATACACCTACTCACACAAACACAACTACCCCTACCCCTGTGTGGGTTCTGGGGCCCTTTTGTGGGGAAAACAAGAATAGACCCACTGCCTCCCCAAAAGCATGTCGTATGAGTCGACTAACTGGGGAGTTTCCTTTGAAGTCAGAGTGCATCTGCCTGAGAGGCAAGGAACCAGCAGTCTGCATTCAATTGAATCAGATATGTAAAACTGATGCACACGTAACAATCAGGTTCTGGAGCAGGACTACAGTCCAGAAGTGGACGAACAACCAGAACTTTACGCCAGAGTGTACAGCTGGTGAAAGCGAAGAAGAAGAAGACAACTACCCCTACATATATAACAAAGAAACTTAAACATACATGGACGCCCACATACACTCGTACACACCTATTCATGCATACACACTTATCCATATATTTCACACATATACGCATATGTACTTATCACACATATTTATCTAATTATAAAATGATAATGCATTATGGATTAACTAAATTTAAGGTGGCATATAATCAGTGGTAAACATGAACTGGAAAAACTTGCAGTTAAATGAGTAGAGACTGTAGTTTTCAGATTGAGTTCCATAAGTGAGCAGCAGAACATGCTAAACTTGATTTGTAAAAATCAATCTTAGGTTCAGGCAAATGTAATAAACTTAGTCGCTGGCTATTTGCAGGATTGGATTAAATAAACTGGAAAATGTAATTTTGAGTATTTTGACATAAAATTTTATGAATGAATGTTGCCTTGTTGAAAATTAAAACATTTACTAAATGGCAGAAGTCTTAGATGTCCATGAAAGATATTTTTTCGACGTAATTTCTATTTGAGGCTAGGCGTAAGCCTCAATTTTGTAGAACACAGCTGTTTAACATTAGATTTGGAGCAACTAGCTCAAATTGTTAAACAATAGTCAATATGTGTTTGGATGTTAGGTTAGTTGCGTATCCTTTACAGGATGTTGCAGAACCAACTCCAACAGCCCCTGGCCGTTGTGTGGTTTTTCTAGCCAAATTTACATCCAGTAGTTTGCTACTGCTTTCTGGACCGTCGGCTTTGTTGATACCACTGTGGAAACCAACACAAGGCGCATGGCCCGCAGCTGGGATCGAACCTGGCATCCCGGCATTATAAATCGTTCACATCGACTTAGCCACAGAGCCAACGTGTTTGGATGTAGAATACATAAATATACTTTATGCGTATTTTTGTCCAAAAAGTGCAGAACTTTGCCAAATAGTTAAACTTTTTGTTCTTTTTTTGTGTGTGGTTATGGCATGAGATTGGGAACTCTAAGTCAAATAGTTGTCAATCAAAATATGTACTGTTTTGTGTGGATTTAGTTTTATTTATATTAATGTGCATGTGATTATCACTGCTTCATTTTATAAGATTGTTTCTTTCTGTAAGGAACTTTTTAACTCATTATAGTTATAATGATTAGTCTATATTGTACAGTTGTCAGCAATCACATGTTATACTCAGAAGTAATGGAAGGTTGTTAATATAAATGGCAAAAAGTAGTAGACATAATATTGAGCCCGGAGGGACGCCAATATTTAACTGTTCGGAGAAAATCAAAAACTGTTTTACAAGACCCTCAAGAACATGAGGAAGGAGAAAGAGTGCCCACTGAAATTCATAAAAGACAAGGAAGGGGCTCTGCTTACTTCTACAGATAATATCATGGGCAGATGGAAAGAATACTTCTCAGAAATCCTTGGCGTTGAGGGAAGTCATGACCCAGAAATAATGGACCTCACTGCTGAGAAGGAAATCATCCATGAGGATGATAACATCAGGATGGTAGAGTTGAAGGCAGCTATTGAGAAGATTAAGCTGCGAAAAGCAGCAGGTCATGATGGTATAACACCAAAGATGGTCAAATATATGGGTGTCGCCGGTGAGCGCCTTCTACTGAAGGTTCTGCAGGCAGCCTGGTGTAGTAAAACTATACCAAAAGATTGGGAGATTGCCATCATTATACCTATATTTAAAAAAGGTGATAACAGACAATGTGAAAACCACAAAGGCATATCCCTCCTCAGCGTTCCTGGTAAAAGTTACTCTAGAATTCTCTAGCAGAGACTTAGAAGTCTGGTAGAGCCACAGCTGGACGAGGCCCAATGTGGCTTCAGAGCAAACCGAAGTACTCAAGACCTTATCTTCACACTGAGACGGATAAGTGAAAAAACCCTTGAATATAAGAGTGAAATGCACTTATGTTTTTTGGATCTGGAAAAGGCATTTGACAAAGTATCCTGGAACAAGCTCTGGGGCTGCTTGGCAGGGAAAAACATTCCAGCAAACCTGATCAGTGCAATACAGAGTTCTTACAAAAGCTGCAGAAATTATGTAAGAACAGCAGACCAAAAGTCAGAAGAATTTAAGACCACTAGCGGTGTTAGACAAGGTGATATTCTCTCACCTTACCTCTTCATTCTTATGAAGGATGATGTCATCAAGACCTGTAAGGAGAAGACAAAGAAGTACTCAGTAGGGTACTGGAAGATGAGACCAATCTGTATATCAGAGCTGGCATTTGCAGACGATGTGGCCCTGATAGCTAAATCAGAGGCACACCTTCAGTCCAACTCACTTGTCTGGAAGGAAGAGCTTGAAAAGAGAGGGATGACCATCAGTATATCCAAAACTAAAACCATGGTGATCTCAAGAGAGGAGAAGAAACACCAGATCATGATGGGACAGTATGCGTTGGAGCAGGTTAACAAGTTCAAATACCTTGGAGTTGTATTAGACCAAAATGGAGGCATTAAGACTGAGCTGGCTACACGAAAAGCAGCTGCTGGGAGACTCTTCCAGGCCATAAACCGAGGGTTTCTTAGCAAAAGAGAAATTGGCAAGAGGACGAAAATGGCTGTTTACCGCTCTACCTATGTACCAGTCCTGACCTATGGGCAATGACAACAGCTCACAGAAGCCAGCTGCAGGCCTCGGAAATGAGATATCTGAGAAAGGTGGTCCAAGTGACAAGAAGGGACAAAGTCCGCAATCAGACAATATGTCAAGATCTTGATACCCAGTCCTTACAAACCCGAGTGGATCAGTCACAGTTACGATGGTTTGGACATGTATGCAGAATGGGAGAAAATCGGCCACCATGGCAGGCATGGGAGACTAAGAACCAGGCAACCAGACCTCCAGGACGACCCAGGGTGCACTGGGAAGACAACATTCGACAGTCCCTAACTGACAGAGGACTGGAATGGAACAAAGCCAGAAAGAAAACTGCTGATAGAGACGTCTGGCGATCTCTCTGGCAAACCTCTACACCCCAAGGTAGAAGAGGAATGACTAAGTAAGTAAGTAAGTAAAGATTTAGAAAAGACTTGGAAGAAGCTATAAAAGTCATTGTTCATTACAGGATCATTTTCAAAGCATACTGGGCACACCCATAAGTGCTACGATCTTCTCTCAAGCATATTTCTTAGTTTGCTTACATTGATGACTCCAGTCCTATATCAGTCGATGTAGCAATTGGAAGCTCTCTGGTGGTTTTTGTGCCGTGCTATTATGACAGAAATATCCAAACTTTGTGTCCAAGTTAGGGAGAAATCAGTATCCTCATGTCCAAGGTCTTCTGCTTGTTTTGTCTCTCACATACCGTTATGTTCTTTCTGTTGACTGAAGGTCCGCTTCCAAGGGTAGCACTGCCTGCAATGGGATCCAAACTCTCATAGCTTTTCACACCTGAATATCCCAGGAGAAAATTAAAGTGATGATATGAAGCATTAAATTTTGCAGCAACTGATACCACCATTTCTGTATTATCTATCTTTAATCAACAGTACACATGCCTGCGTGCATTTCTGAGTTTGTAGACACTCTACAGCTTTTGTTACATCCAAGACCTCCATGACTTAACTGCTCATGACTTTAGTAAATTAGCAGAGTAGTTTGACATAAATGAGAGGACAGGCTCCATCAGGAGAATAGAAGAAGAAGAAGGAAATCAATGAGCATAGACACCACTAGAAACATAGAAGAAAAAAAAAAGGAAACTGTTGACAGTCTAGGTCCCATTGGGAGAATATAACAACAAGAAGGAAACAGATAGGAGCCTAGGCCCAATTTTGAAACAAAAGTAGAACAAGAAGTTATGGTAAAAAGTATAAAGGATTTCCAAAGCTGGAAAAAAAAAAAAACAGTACCTTATTTGTGCTAAATAGCAAAACTAACACATTCACATAAGCCATCCCTCATGTTTCCCTTCCACCAATTAGCTGTGTCTTACTTTGAATGCCATGAACTTGTGGTAAGGTTTTGGTGCCCATGCATAGATCTCAATGCTGTCCTGCAGGGCTATCACCAGAAATTTGATTCGCTCATATTTAACTGTCAAAGAGAAAAAAAAAATAAGAATTTGTTAGGTAAAAGAAATATATGAGCAAAAACAAACTACCCATGTGATCAGTTTACCACACATAATCTAATGACCAGGTCACATCATTTTGAAGTTTAAGAAAGCAGAGGTCTTTTAACTAAGTCACATCAACCTTCAAAATATAATATAAATTGAGTGCTCTCATCCTTATGAAACAACTGACAACTGTATCCTCAGTACGGAAACATGCTAGAGCAATGTGTTTTTAAGCATGCACACAATCTTCTATGCCACAATGGTTCGCAAACATAGATAATTATCACAACATTTGGACTATAGCAAATTACAGTAAAGTGTGGTGTATAAGTCAATTTTCATAACTGAAAATTAAAACTACCAGTTGTGGACTTACACCGGGGGAAGAGGGTCTGTTATAAAATGCGATATGGCAGGTAGGCAGGTATAATCCTAACTCCGAATTTTCTGACAATAATTTTGAGGTCCAATATTGCACCAGGTCAACGTGTAGGCTGCTGTTCCCTAAACGTTTTAGGAATGTTAACTCCTAGTGTCTTGTTCATTTACTGTTGAACCAGCAAAAGAACTGTTTGTTCCCTGTGCTGTTTCAGATCTTGTTAAAGATGTTATGGGGTGCGGCAGTTTATTTCACAGTGTAATAAATGTTTATGCTATCTAATGTGAGCATGTCTCTCGATAGGGTGTTGCTGATGTTGATGCATCTGCTCCTTCATCTTTCTCATGCTCTCGCAAACATACTAGAGTACTGGAAGTTTTATGATACATACAAGAAACTATTACCACTGCATGTATGACACAGACTCACATTATTCCTGGCTGGTTGATAAACAAATATAGAAATGTTATCTTGCAATGATACACTCATACAATAATTATGTCTTGCAATGATATACACACAAAGAAACCTTGGCTGGCAATAACACACATGCATAAATTCTGACCAGCAATAGCGTACGCTTGCACAGACACATACACGCACGCATATACACAAATTCTGACTTGCAATGAAGGACACATTCATAAATTCCAATGGAAAATTAACCACACATACAGAAATTCTTACTGGAAATTAACCACACACACAGAAATTCCGAGAGGAAATGAGTCACAAACGAAAATTCTGATGGGAAATGATTCACACAAACAGAAATTCTTCCTGGAAATTAACCACACACACAGAAATTCTGAGAGGAAATGAGTCACAAACAGAAATTCTGTCTGGAAATGAACTACATGTACATACATTTTAACTGAAATGATGCACCTCTAATCCCAGAAAGTTAAAATGAAATGATATATACAAAAGAAATTCTAACTCACAATGACACATACAACCCTTCTCTCCCCACCCCCTTCTTTCCCTCACTAGCACAAACTCTAACATGCTAAGTAGTAGTCACTTACACATTAGGTTCAACTTTGCAATCAAAGCACATATTAAAATTCTGACGAACCATTATATAAGCCACTAAAAATACAATAATAAATTAAAACGATTCACATATATTCTGAACAACTCTGTGTATGTGTGGATGTGTGTGTGCATGTGCACGTGTGTGTGTACATGTGTGTATGTGTTTGTGTGTGTGAGAGAGAGGGAGAACAATCTATAATCATGAATGGAGTGATGAATGAGCTGGATTTCCTGCCCTGGGCTTGGAAACAAATGTATTTGGGTGGGTAACTCATAGTGTGACCTTATCAGAATTCAACACTAAGTCTAGAGACAAATTATGCCATAACAATGGCTTTAAAATTACCATTCTGCTCACAAGAAAACGTCCCTTAAATGCTATTTTCAGTAAATAAATTCATATCAGGACCTCCTAAACGCTGCACATGCATAAACATGACCAATGACATTAACTAGGCGTCTTTGTGGGATTCAGCCACTGTCAGATGTGCTAGATTCATGGCTTCTCAGGTGAACAGGTTAATGACACACATAAACACTAGTGACCCCGCTCACTAGTTAACTCTCTCTCTCTCTGACATGCACAAATTATCATTTGCTATGCTGTATACATACACACGTTTAGGTTTGAAATGATAATCAAATGTCAAAATTACTGAAACGAACAATCGCTACCTCATTCAGTCAATAGCTCTCTTTCTCTCTCGCGCACAGACAGGTAGGCACAGACACACACACACACACACACACACTAATACATACACACCAGACTTTGCAATGACAGGCAAAGTAATTTGATGTTAATCCCTTCAAGATGTGGACTTACCAATTTTAAAATGTATACAGCCCTCCAGCTCACCCACATTTACCCAACCGTTGGTTTTGTCACTCTGCGAATGCACAAATAATTCAGTTAATAAATGCATCAGTATTGATACATACATATGAAGACAGCAAGAAGAGTAAGTAGTTAGTGGGTATAGCAGACAATGGCTGGCAACAAATGGAAATCAAAGGCATAATATTTCAATTTTTAAAAGTTAGAATTGACAATACTGCACGCTGTACACAAACATACATGTTGTTTTACTCTGAACAAGAACACGAGAGCAGGCAAGAACACTAACAACCATGCTCTATTATACTTTTTTCAACTGCCTTGTTACTTATTTTTTGTTCAACAATATAGCCCTTCATGTGCAAACGGCCCCCTCCCCATATGTCTTGGTTTCATGTTGAACTTGGTTGCTTAGACGCTTTGTTGTCCAGTCTACAGAGTTTTTCAGTCAAAGTTTGTTTTGTATTTAGTTCTTTGCTGATAAGAACTTTAGCTGTATCTGAGCGCATCTTTTCAATTCCCTTCATTGAGCTAAAAACATTTTATTCTACTCATCACTTCTTGTCATCAGCTTGACTGCAATCACCCCTCTATTTAAGACAATAAGATGGAGGGGATATCAACAACAAAACTAACTGACAGCACCAAGGACACAGCTCTGTGGAGAGATTAGAATGCCTAAGCCACCTAATTTGCACAACAGTCGGTGATTGTATCAACATTTTAACTTTGCCATGATAATCAAATATAAAAATTCTGCCTTAAAGACAACACCTAAACACACTCTACAGCACCCTCTCATGCACTCTCTCATGAATAGGCAGACAAACACACATACATACACATCTGTTACAACTGTTACTCTTGTCAGCTGGTGCTCTGCCATGGCTTCTAATCATAAGTATGTGACTTTTTTTCATGCCAGCAGTCATATAGGGTAGATGATGTGAGTTGCAAATTTTCAGACTCATTTATGTAGTCAAGCCATTTGCTTTGAGCTCTGAAAGTCATGGGTTTGTTTCACGGTGGTGTCGTTCAGTTCACGAGTGCAATTTTTACAGACATCGGTGGGTACGTTGCCGGAGCGACTGAGGCTGTGCTCTGTGTGATGCTCACAGCAGGCAGCTAGCCATTCTGTGGAAGAGACTGAGTCCATTGGGATAAAACCCGGTGCAATGAAGTTGATCCTCTTACTTTTACCTTCATATCTGATGTGACCAATAACACACTGGAATACCCTACTTCCATGTATGGAATATAGAAGGATAGAATTGAAATAAAAAGGGCCCAAACCATTTACTGCATAATTTACTGTTTGAAAATTTGCCACAGGAAAAACACTGTAATGTTTTTTTGAGGACCGGATTGTGTGTTTGTGTGGGGATTGGGGGGAGGGGAGAGGGGGGGGGGAGAAGTGAGGGGAATAGATCCATCAGTGTCCCTTAACACACATGCAACACAATCATGACGGTAAATTATTAATAACAACTCCCCCCCAGTGACCTAGAAAAAACAAAGTCAAGCTTTCATACTTTTAACTTTTTCACCATTAAAAAAAAAATCCGTACAAAAATAATTTTAAATGTCACAAAACAACAAAAGTATGAAACTCAAATTATTATCCAAAATACGAAACATACTACACAGACTAAGGGGAGTCAGCAAAGTAAAGTAAAGGACCCTTTTCCACGCCTTTAGGCGTATAGGGCATATAGGGCTAGACCTTTATTTTTATAGACCAATCGGGACAAGATTTGTGATGTGGTCAGCATCACGCCAAGGGGAGTAATCAGTTAAAATCAAATTCAGTAGATCATCAAACAGCTTACTTGGGGCCTGTGAACTAATAATAATACCATACTTACTTGACCCTGCAACCTGTTAACCAATGTAGCCAACAAGAAAATATGACGTAGGAATTTCTATAAATAAAGCCAATTGATTTTTGTAGGGAATATTATGTCAATCTAGTCATTCCCTGTCATGCTGAATGTTTGCACAGATGCAATCATTTTTGTAAGCTGGATTTCTTGTCAGCATATATCTCTCAGCGAGTCAGGTTAATGGCTTTTAAATGGAAATGGTACCAACCGGGTAGTGACAGTTTTGTGGCTTCTCGGAGTAAAAGGGTTGAGGGCTTGTTGTGCTGAAAAGTGTAGATATCACAACCTAGCTGTAAACCATAACATGATGTGAATAGCCATTTATTTTAAGAGTAAAAGAAGAATAGGGTTTTGGCAACATGCGCAAGTACTCACTGTATCATTTTTCAAGATCTTGGATTTCAGCCAGGAGAGGTAGTAGACGCGTATCTTACTTTTCTTGCCAGATATTGTCACCAGGATGTTCTGTCCTTCCAACACCTCCATTTGCTGGAACTTCCGCCTGGATATTAGTGTGTACACTGTAAGGAGAATTGCAATATAACAGTAAAGAACCGATCACCTCATGATGCCTAGTAGGTTTAAGCTCCCATCCCATTATTTAATGGTATTGGCAACTGTCTGATTGTACATCCATCTCACCTTTCCTTGAGTGTGGAAAGATACATGATAAAATATCATGTCAGGTTACAACACTTTGCAATAACTGTTCAGGCTTTTAAATAAATGAATCTTCACAAGCCTCATTATATATCTAGCTTTTTGATAGCTCACCAAATTATTCTTGGGATATGCTAGCTGTGGTAATGTAGGCATTTGTGGTTTGAATCTGCATTTCAAATTCATTAAAAAATTGATTAGTGCTTCTTAAAATAGATACCAGTAAATGCCACCAGAAGTAAAGGCATAGTGCATGATGTTGACAAGACCATTTACTGTGTCAGTTGGAAAATAAAAAATATAGGGCTAAAACCTATTACATTCCAGGGCATTTCTTCACACCCATTTAAAGTCAGGTCAGCACTAGATCTTTCTTACTTAGTTGATCCTCTTCGTGATGTAGACGTTTGCCAGAGGGATCGTCAGACTTCTCTATCAGCAGTTTTCTTTTTGGCTTTGTTCCATTCCAGTCCTCTGTCAGTCAGGGAATGTTGGATGTTGCTGTTCCAGCAGAACCCACGTGTCATCCTGGAGGTCTGGTTCCCTGGTTCTTGGCCTCCCATGTGAGATATGGTGGTGAATTCTCTCTCATTCTGCATACATGTCCAAACCATCGTAACTGTGACTGATCCACTCGAGTTTTCAGGGTCGTAGGTTCCAAGATTATGACGTATTGTCTGGTTCCGAAATTGTGTCCCTGGGAGTACTAGATCAATTATAAAAATCCACCCTGATGCAGATCTTCAAACCCAAGACATCAGCATCTAGACACTCCATGACCACAGCTCCCTTGTGGTCCAAAAGCCATCCCATTAATCTCTCTGTAAATGCCTGACAAAGATGGACAAACTCACCATTTGTGTTAGAGAATGAGCCAAAAAGCAAGGGAGGAAGAAAAGCAGAAATAAAGAGAAGGAGGAGAAGAAGATAAGAAGGAGACAATGAAGAATACAAAGCTGAAACAGGAAGACATGTAGATGAAGATATAGAAAGAACAAGTCAGTTACAAGCTCAAATTCATATTAAGATTACTGCTGAAAGCAGTTATTTCCCATGTCTCCCTCTGACCTTTTCCTTGTCCACTTCTGTCCAGCAGCATCAAGCCAGATTCAGTTCCTATCAACAGATTCACACCTGTAATAATTAATGTAACTTAATTAATGCACAATATCTCATAAGATCTGATAACAGTGTGTACATATCCCCATGTACATATGCCAAAGTCATCTAAGTGAAATACTGACGATTGTTTACCCAAGTGAATTTGAATGGCTGTTATTTGTCACTTTACAATATGGCACACATAAGAATTCTTCAACAAAACACTGAAAATGATTTATTAATTTTCACACAACTACACAATTTTTATAAAAATTTCAATGTTTAGACATAATTTTCTCAAAACAAGGATTTAGCACTTAGGTGATTTGAGCATAGTACCAAAAAGTGTTTTGTCTTATCTGCATCTATTTATTTATATGTTTATACAAGAACAATCACTGATTTAAAATGTACACTTGCTTGATAAGAGACCAGATATAGAAAAAAGATGTTCTTGCCAAGATCACAAGAATAAAAAAGTTATCACAAATGCTCCATCCTCACTTTCAGCAACAAGTACAGAGTATCAATTCTGATGGTGCCAGTTGTTTGATTGTATATTCGCCTGACCTTTCCTCTGAGCACTGAGTATCTACCTGACCCTCTTCTCCCCCCCCCCCTCTCTCAATCTGCATCATTCTTTCTAGACTGTGGTGATCTATTCACTTTTCTGTACTGTACATGTCTGCAAAAGAACCTTTATCACATCTGCCTTGTCATGCATCAATTCATGACCAAACCACGCAGAACCAGCCAATCTGTCTGCCTGCCCAACACACAAGCATAACCTTCCAGAAATGATCTGAAGGACCCTCACTACTTCCAAGTTTTCAATCTAAACACACCACCAGCTTGGTCTATTAGGTATTGCACACGTGAAAGACTGACCACAGCAATTCCCGTCAGGTACTTACCAAAGCAATGTTTTTCAAGAAATTTCTTTTTCACCGGCTGTAAACTATGGCGAAGTTCTGGTTGTTCGTCCACTTCTGGACGTGCTACGTTTCAGTACTTGAGTGGTGTGTGCACATTCCTTTTACAGATCTGATTTTGTATGTAGACAGTTGACTTCATGCCTCTCAAGCAGATATAATATGACTTGCAAGAAAAACTCTGAAAAACTGATTATTGTGACATGCTTCTTAGGCAGGCAGTGGATATATTCTTATTTTCCTCACAATGCAGTCCCGTAAACCACATAGGGATGAAGAAATTTTAAACACAGAAAATGACCAGTAAACAACAAAATATGCTCACCCCATAAAGCTGCACACAGAATGTCTGAGCCGAAACGCTTTTTGTATTTGCGGATTTCTGGTGTATCGCTGACTCCCTCCGTAGTCTGTGACGGTGTGACATTGACAGTAATTTGTGAGCCTCGTCGTGACTGTATTAAAGTGAGAAAAGAAAAACCTTGTTAAATGTGGTTTTCTGTAGACACTCAAAATAGGATGTTATTTGTTTCCTTGCCCATATAGGGCGGGTTGTTCTGGCCACTGTGAACATCCTCAGTACAGTACAGTTTAAGTGAGGATCAGTTCTGAAATTTATTTTTATCTATTCACTTATTTCGCCTAACATCTAAAGAAGTCAATTCATGGAACACAAGCTATGACATAAAGCAAGCTATAACTAGAAAAGGTGGAAAGAACAAACATGCACAGAAACAATCTTGTATATTTGACTTCACTTTCCTGTGTGTGAGCTGATGTCTAAGATCCATATATTTTTTCTGGGTGTGGGGGCATCTCTTAATTTTAAGATTTTGGTTGTTCAACTGTTTCTGTGTGTTTGTTGCTTTTCCCTTCTTTGAGCTTCTTAGTTAAGGCTCAGTGAATCTGGGAGCCCTCTCATAATGGCTAGATGCTCTCCCTGTCGACCAGAAGGCTGGGGGTTTCAATCCACATCAAGCTGGAGTTTAAAAAAAAAAAAAGACCTTGTCTCCCTTCTCCACCAAACCTAAAATGGGTTCTAGGTAAAATCCTGGGAAGTAAAGGCAGCTGGCGTGATGCTGACAACATCATCCATCAAGGACTGACTGATCTGTAACACATGTGAGCCTAGCATCATCGCTCACCAGCTTGCCAGGACTTTATGTCATTTACGTAGACTGATTGATACACTGAGTGGAGTGAAGGAGGTACCTGTTTTCTCCTGATATCAGAGGGTCTGGCCAGCTCAATACACTCAGGGGAAAGGCAAGACAGACTTTAAAAAATATTGTGACCGGTACCATCAGTATTGGAACTCTGTGCTGGCTGCTGAAGATGAGAAGGAGCATGCATGGGAATGCCCCGAGTGCTGTGATGTCAATTCTTGACTCAACTCAACTCCTGATATGTAAGCTAAGCATGTACCATCCAGGCTTTGTGTATTTTACTTGATATTCATATTATGTACACCAGGCATGTCAAATATGCAACCTGCGGGCCATATGCGGCTTTTATTAAAAATGTGTTATAATTTTTACTAAACGACTTTAATTAGTTGTCGACTTGGTCTCTGGGTAGTAAGATGGGACGCCCATGTGAATTGCTGCGAACATAAAAAAATGCTTTGGCAGTTTGAAATCGAAAAGAGTAGCCTAACGGCGCTACCCAAAGTTTTTCAGGATTTTTACCGGTGTTATGGAGTTCATATACACTGCGCTGATTCTTTGAATTCTGGCTTGGGTTTGAAGAAGGATGGGGCACTTATAGGTTACTATCCTTGTGCCATGATGTTGATCCGTTGTGTAAACCAAACTATAGTTCGTTAAACATCTCATAAAAACACTTGCTAGCCATTTTCTCAAAAACTAGATGTTAGATTGCAACGATGTAGCCTTAGAATATCCATGACGCAAAAAATAATGGTATTCTTTAGTCCCTAGATGCCCAGGATGCTGAATACCAGCCAATTCCTTTGATCCTCTTAAAACATTGTAAATAAATGGAGTGACTTTTAAGATTTTACAGTAAAAATCTGAATTTCCAGTTCTATTTTTTTGTCAGAGGCTTGTCTTCATAATTCATTGATAAGGTTAGTTGCGTATCCTTTACAGGACGTTGCAGAACCAATCCCAACAGCCCCTGGCTGTTGTGTGGTTTTCTAGGCAAATTTATGTCCAGTAGTTTGCCATTGCTTTCTGGACGGTCGGCTTTCTTGATACCACCGTCGAAACCAACACAAGGCACATGGCCCACAGCTAAGATCGAACCTGGCATCCCGGCATCACGAAGCGCTTGCATCAACTTAGCCACAGAGCCGACTAATTCTTTCATAGATGAAGTAAATTTATTTGTTGTCATTTATGTTCAACTGAGCTGAGCTGAGTCAAGAAAGACATCACAGCACTAGGGCATTTCCTTATACATTCCATCCCCATCTTCAACAGCCAGCGCAGAGTTCCAATTCTAATGGTACGGACACAGTCTGATTATAAGTCCATCTTGCCATTCCTCTGAGTGTAGTATGCTGGCCAGGCCCTCTGGTCACACCCAGGTGTATCTTTCTCTTCAGGCCATGATAATCTATTTTCTCTTCTGACTTTGTAACTTGTTCTCAAAGGGCCTTGACCACATCTGCCTTGCTATGTATCAACTCGCCACCCAGCCAATCTTTTTGCCTTGTTCAATTATAAACATGTTCCTAATATGCAGCAATTAGTATTCCCCTTCAGTCACCATTAGACGCTACGGTGTATCTTAACTGCACAGCAAATTGTATTAAGGTTGACACATTTGGATATGGAGATGTAATTGTTGCAACTTTATATGTACCTAACGGGTTGATGATATTGAACCACTCATCGGAAAAAATGGTTTTAATCATTCCCAATCTGACGATCCCAGAAGGTTGATAATTGTTACTGACTGAACAAATTGTAATCCATCTCAGTGCCATTACTCATCTTTTTCTGGGAGCACATGTTCAACACACTTTTTCCAGAAATGAATGTCTATTTTTGAGAAGGACATTTTGAAATGTCAATATTGCATTGTGATTTCAATGATGATTTCAGTTTTGGAGAGTAACAAGTTGATTTGTCTCTAACATTTTTGAGATCTCACGCCTAATGATATCTACATCAAAGTCGTCAACTGTCCTTTTCCTTCCTCGTTTGACATGCGTGTACTCTGTATCCTGTGTAATCCAACGGTTAAAAGATGCTCTATCCAGACCAAGTGCCAATCGTGTTCGTTTCTCTAGGTCATGAATATCACAATATAAATGACCCATCTTAGATTCCCTGAGGCAGTGCTGGTACAGTAAAATGGTAACCTTCTGCATAGTCATAAATTTGTATCACAAATTTATTTTTAAGTCGATGTCTATGTCAGCTTTTATAAGCTAGCGATATGACACAATAACTCAACACTAATTTGTGGATGCATCTTTGACTAAACAACCTTGACTGGCGTCTTATTTTGGCGCGAGGTCACTAAGAGTGCGACTTTGCATGAGAAAATCATTAAATTACGAAGGTTTCCTTTGACCCCTTGTTAAACCAGTCATAGCATGCATTACTTCCTGAAACTAATGAAAGTAAACCTTCCAAAAGTCTACCAAAATGGTTTCAGTTTCATGATAAAAATATATATTGTAAAGAAGAAAAAACTACATATGATAACAAAGGTTACAATAAAATCAGCAGTCACCAGCTGGGCAGTTAAGAACACTGGGCTCTAATTTGACAGACCGAGGTTCAAATCCTCAGTAAGGTGATGGATTTTTTTCCCTCAAGGACAAAAATACAATCCTAGACTGCAAACTTTCAGCAATGTGAGCCTTAAATCCTATGTACAAGACCGTTTTGTCCTCAAACGCTCTAACAAGTGGTAATTACAAGGAGTAAAGACAGGTTTATTTGTAATATACAGTATACAGTTGGCAAAAACTAGAAGAATGCATGACAGAATCAAATCCAATCAAATCATGGTTTCTGGATTTAATAAAAAAACATGAGGAACAAAAACAACTGACCTCCTCTGATGCAACCTTGTCCTGGGATCTCTGTGGGGTTGGAGGAGACCTGGTCTGTGGTGGTGTGTGAGGTGGCACTAAGTCTGGCATCACCCCACTATGTCTGGGTGACTGACCACTGGCTACAGAAAAATAACAATTTTCAACATCTCGATAATCATGTGCTAGAGCAGTTTGTGTGGTCTGCCACGATTCTCTGGCTCACATGATAACCACAAGCGTGGATAAGGTCTATGCTCTTCTTGCTACTGTGTCATTTGTTTAAATCATCCAGGGATGTCTCTATCTTTCTTTACTCATCAAGATTAAAAGCTGTCACAAAGATTTCAAATGTATCTATTTTCAATAATGCATAAACATCTATATCTAACCAATCTGAAGTCTATCATCTGCCTCTCAAAAAACTAAGTTCTTTACTGATGTCATATTTCATAGCACTCTTTGCATTCTCCTCACCTCTGCTACATTGAAATGTGTTTCAGTCTGTCTTCCTTTTCTTCCAAAGTTACTATTACACACAACAGAACAGGTCCCAGTAAGAACCGTAACACTTTGTTCACCGTGGCTGATAGTGCTTTATTTATATTATCTTGATTAATGTCATTGCACAAACATGCAACAAAGAGCCAAGCTGGCATATAATTTTATTCCCACTTATATTATCAATATCCTACTGACAGTCTTTAGTTCCTAGAACATTTTCGGCTGTGTTAACATGGGAGCCCCGGTCATTGTCACAAAATCTTGCATTCGGGGGGTATATCACCAGTTAAATTGGTTAATATTCTAGACTATATGCTACTGGTAATGGCATCCATCAGTCCCTGGGAACTATGGAGTGTGCCCCTAGCTTTGGCAACAGACTGTAGTCAGATATGAGAGTGACAGTCTGCCACATAGGATACACACAAAAGTAGATACTTCCCTCGCTATGAGGCTGATTTACTCTCCAGCATCTCCTCTCTATAGCTCACTGCGTTTGGTTTTTTTTCTTCTCCCAAATGTGACAATCTGTCTTTTACTTTCTGTAACCATAGTAGTAGATTTGCAGCTGATTTGTCCCAAGTCTCTGTGCCTATGTTGGTATCTATCAGGTCACATTTGCATGTCTTTATTACAGAGCTTTGGCCTTTCTATAGGTCTATTCCCTGTTTCCAGTTCACCATACAGGAGGTCCTTTGGAATACGACCATCCTCTAGTTGTAGACATGTCCCAGCCAGCATAGATGTCTTTGCTTCAGTATGATGGTATTTTGCTCTTTTGAGTACACATGTGTACTCGCTGGAGACAAGGTCCAGCCATGATATACCTAGGATGCGCCTCACACAGCGCATGTGGAAGGTTTTCAGTCTCTTTTCTTGAGGAGCATATAGAGTCCAGGATTCACTACCACACAGCAGCGTGCTCAAAACACAAGAATAATAAACTTTCATTTTGGTATTATCAGTCAGCTTTTTGTTTGACCAGACTCTCGTAGTGAGATTAGAAAACATTGCAGAGGCCTTTCCTATATGTCTATTTATCTCTGCATCTAGGGAATGATCACCTGAGATTCGTGAGTCTAGGTACTCAAACTCATGTACAGCCAACAGCTGATGGTCATAAACATTATTGTTTGGTGGGTTTCCAACATTCATTACCATCTCTTTACATGCATTTGCAAAGCGATTCATGAGGGTCTGCAGATCATCCTCTGTATGTGCCACAACGGCTGCATTATCCGCAAAAAATCAAATCCCTAAGGTGTCTTGTATGCACCTTCATCCTTGCAAGTAACCTAAAATTAAAAAGACTGCCATCTGACCTCGAATGGAGATATATCCCTTCGGTGGCGGTCCCGAATGAATGCCTAAACAATGCATGCCAATGTTGACACATCTAATTTTACAAAGTGATTTCACAAATGACACATTGCGACTTCTCTAACAATCATAATGAGGGAATGTTTCTTCCTGCAATCATTTCACTGTCAGCTGAGCTTTTATGATGCATGTGACTACATTCTGCAAAGTTCATCAAGTGTACATGGTGGTAAATACTGGGCCAGAGAACTATATCTGGCATATGCCCCACAATGTAATTTGTGAGACTGACATAAATCATACAAACATGAGACCAATTAACTGGCACAGATTTTATCATATAAAGTGTGTTAACATTTTTACTGGCAATACTCAAGACAAAAGACTTTTCTAGTCAAGATGATCGAAGCTTTACAGCATGGACTATAAGATGTGTACACCGGCAGCTATCAATCATATGACCACATAAATATTTATGTAACTCACCAAGAGCACCAGGAGCTGATGAGCTGGATGAGTTGGAAGAACTTCTGTGTACATGGTGGACCATGAGGGGCTTGGAGATCTTGGACAGGTCCTTGTCCCGTTCTGATCCTCTGCTTCTATCCTTTCCCTTGTCTTTGTCCCCCTCTATGACTGGGTCTGACTTGTTCTAAGAAAAGCACACACAAAAACGATTTTAAAATAAAATGTAAACTAGCCTTATCCTCTTGAGCCATATTAAGGCGCTGAGTACCGTATTTTCCTGTGTATAAAACAACATTTCCCCCTTCTCACAAAAAATTGTGTTTGAAATAGAGGATCATGGAATGTGTTTAAAATATTTATTTCCTAATGTTGGGTTAAAAACAAATAGGGGTCATCTTATACATGGAACAATATGGTATATGGTGTTCACAAATAGGTGGTAAAGGACTTTTTTTGTATGCCAGTGGCACACAAATCTTATGGTTCCAAGTCTACATAATATGCGTTTATATATTTATTAGACCAATTAGCACTCAATTAGGTGATCTGGTCAGCACCAGGGTGTAACTTTTACTTCTCAAGACATTTCCCTCATTCCCATTTCGGCTGGGTCAACTCTAGAGCCAAGATCTATAATAAGAAAATGATGCCTTTAAACTTTCAGACTTGCAGGCAAGAATCCTGTCACTCCACTTACTCGGCTCAATGTATGGTGTTAGCTTAGTCGACAGGTGATATGGTCCCATATCATGAATAATTTAAAGTATAAATACAGACACAGACTTGCTTCTGTGTTCTCTTCTAGCTCTAATCTGAGGATCACCAGAGGTGCTGATGGTTTTATGTATTTGATACACACTATAGGCACACAATTTGCCAAACAAAAGCAATCGCATGTTTCATGAATGACAGTAACAAAATTACACCATAACAATCCAAATCAATCATTCTACACAGACAAAAGTAATCTTCATTATAAGGTATTCACACCATCATCACACATCTCTTGATGTTCTTGAGAACTACGGGGTACAAGGACAGTTACTAGAGAACATCATAGCCATGTACCACACAAGCCAAAGTGCAGTAAAAACACAAGAAGGCATATCAGATATGTTCACAGTCAACACAGGTATGAGACAAGGATGTGTACTCTCTCCACTTTTATTTAACATCTATATAGACAGAATATCTAAAGAAGCAAGTTGTGATACAGATAACATAGACCTTTATAATCACAAGGAAGTACACACATCAGGAGAAGTAATCGATTCACCCACATTAAACGAACTACTGTTTGCTGGCGACCAGTGCTTGTTCTACCCTGAAGAACATAGACTGCAAGACCACATTAAGATATTAAACTCAGCATGTAGTAAATACAACATGAAGATCAATGTAAACAAAACTGAAACAATGCAAGTTAGTAGAACCCCTGCCCCACTACACATACAGCTGAATGGTTCTGCCCTGAATCAAGTTAGGGAGTTTAAATATCTAGGAAGTATGATCACAGAAGATGGTAGAATTGACAGAGAAATAGAAACCAGATGTCAGAAAGCAAGTGCACTTATTTACCAATTGTCACCATTATTAAGACATCCAAGCATAACTATGAGTGCAAAGAGACAGATTATTAATAGCATATTCATTCCAACATTAAGCTACCAGTGCCAAACATGGACACTATCTAAAGCGCATATACGCAAAATTACCACCTGCGAGATGAGGTGCCTGAGAAAAGCAGCCAACCTAACCATACGAGATCGAGTGAATAATGAAACTATCAGGAAAATTGTGGGAGCGACACATTGTACTAGATTCATCAAGAAACAGCAGATCAAGTGGTTTGGCCATCTAGTTAGAATGCAGAAAGATCAAATACCATCACAAGCACTACGTCTCAGAAGATCAACTACAAGAGCAAGAGGACGGCCACGGAAAACATGGATCGACAACATTAAAGACACTCTATGCCTTCACGGCATGACAATAGCCAGTGGCAGCCAACGTGCACTGGATCGCAAATTATTCCTCCCCACAATGCTTAACGGCAGAAGTGGTTTATGATGATGATGATGATGACATCTCACTATTGTCAATTAAACTACTCTTGTCATCTCTTTGGCACATAGGGTATAAGTTGTTAGATCAATATTTGTTATAGAGTCAGCATCCCATTGGTGACGTGTTGACAATCAGGTCAGCCGTCTTACTTCCCAGGACATTTCCAGGTACATATTTAGGCTGGGTCGATCTTGGTGCCAAGGTCAAATTTTAAAAAATCTGCCAAGATGCTGATTCGAACCTGAGACCTAGTGGCCAACAAACAAATCTAGTCAGTTTGCACTGACTGACTGACTTTCTACCCCACTAGGACATCATACAAGTGATAAACACCTGATGACACAAAGTGCCACCATGTGGATGAGGATCGTCGTGGAAAGGTCCCAGAAACCGCGTTCAGACAATTGGTCATATTTATGGGAATCCGACTATGTTCGCATTTTGAACCCGTTCTGCGGCTCCGAAGGTGATTGCCTAGCCGCTACACCACGGCGGCTTCCATGGAACAAGTTCTGCTTCGAGGCGTGCCTAAAACCCGAGTCCACCAGCGTGGCAAGTGGATCCACTAGCTGCTACACTGTAGGATCCCTAGCCTGGACCACTAAGAATACGTGTAGGACTTAAGGGGAGTTAACACCTCACAGCACATCATTGAAGCATTTCACAATGACGACGCTTCTCACAACAACCGCTAGATAGTCTCCTCCGCAAAACGTGACGCCCTAATGACCGTTTTAGAGTGAAGCGATGATTACAGAACTGACGTCTCACGGCTGAGAGTGGCTCACTGACTGCTGGCCTCAAGCAGAGTACATACGCTCTTCACACTGTCATCTAGTGTCAGACATCGTACGATCGGTTAAAGGCAAACTGAACGTGGGAACAGCGTATGTAGGATTCGCAATCTAGGGTCAAGTACATACAGGACCGCACTTGGTCCATTAGCCTTGTTTTCAATCTGCTTATGTGTCTGTATCCCCCGTCATTCAATAAATAAATGTATTGTAATACAGAACGACGAAATTAAAGCATGGGGAGGGAAGAGTGATGCATATCCCCTACCCACACATGTCTGCAGGGTACACTATTTAATATAGCCGTCGCCTCAAGTATAACTTCCTTGGGGACTGAACGGGCACATTCTAGATTTGCACTGATGGATTCCCTATCAGTAAGCGACTCTTGAAGTCACACAGCTTGTCAAATTATCAAGAAGCAGAACATTGGGGAAAAAGGGGGGGGGGGGGAAACTGGGGACATGTAGAAAAGAGAAGCATGATGGTCTGTACCGCCATCTCACACACACACAAGCACACACACACACACACACTATATATATATATATATATATATATATATATATATATATATATATATATATATATATATATATATATATATATTATATATATGTACATGCATGTGTGTATCTGTGTGTGTGTGTGTGTGTGTGTGTGCAAGTGCGCTGCTGACGTCAGTTTATGCAACATGACAGTACGGGCATGTAGATATTGAAAAGCAATTTTCCACACTAGTGCCGCCATTGCGGCATGTTATACTTCAATGCTAAAGAAATAGCAAACTGCATTCTAACGAGCGTTGACCAGAAGAAAACTCAACCTGGGTGTTTGGCCAAGGAAAACAGATTAGGGATTTTTCTTCCTAACAATAAAGAGTATGTAATCAAGTCTGATATGTGCGAGGAACATACTTTTTCTTGGCATTGTCTCAATCCCGGCATGTCGGCCCAGGGCATTCGTAGTTTTGCGTCAATTATTAAATCACAGTAGAAATGGCTAGTGGGTAACGCTTGTTGAAGGCTACGGAAAGATAAGGTAGAGGTCGAGTGTTGGAGCAGACCTGTCTCTTCAGTGTCATTTGATATGACATCATCTGTCACTATTTTCCATTGAGTTGAGTCAAGAATTGACATCACAACACTAGGGGCATTCCCATGCGGGCTCCGTCCTCATCTTCAGCAGCCAGCGCAAAGTTCCAATACTAATGGTTCTGGTCACAATCTGGTTTTATGTCCGTCTTGCCTTTTCTCTGAGCGTAGTGAGCCGGCCAGAACCTCTGGTTACACTCAGGTGCCTCATTCTTTCCAGGCCATAATAATCTTGTTTCTCTACTAATTCCGTTGTTTGTTGCCAACGGGCTTTGGCCACATATCTGCCTTGTCGTGTATCAATTCACCACCCAGTGGTGCAGATCCAGCCAATCTGTCTGCCTATTCATTACCCAATACGCCGGCATGGCCTGGAGAAAAAATCCAAAGTATGCTCACTAACCGTGACCTTTCCAGTGAATCTTCAAACTCTGCTCGAAGCATCCTTGTCTTCACCTTTCTCAGCAAGCTTTCAAAGTCTGTTACAATTACGACATGTGTATGCATCTTGTTCTCTAGTCACCGGAAAGCTGCAGTTACCGCCTCCATATCCATTCTCATGCTAGATGTGGTGTCGTATGCTAGGCTGTCTGTCACTAAAGATTTTCCATTGGCTTTCGCTACGAACAACCAGTCACTTCTCTTCCCTCTCAAAACCGAACCATCTGCATAGATGATCAGATCACCTGGGTGTGAATTGTCGTGAATCAACTGTTGGACTTTCACCTCCGTAGCACTCGCTGGTCACTCTCTGGCCCAATGTGATCATAACCTTTCACAGGTCAGTATCTATTTATCTATTAGTTATCTGGTAGGTATCTATGGGGGATAGATGGATGAGTGGATGGATGGATGGATGGATGAATGGATGGATGGATGGATGGATGGATGGGATGGATGGATGGACGGATGACAGTCATGTAGACTGATGGGCCGGGCATATTTTTAAAACAGGAGTGAAGATAGAGATAGCGGCTAAAGGGCGGAATAAAGACGGGAGGGGGAGGGGGGTACTAGGAGAAGACAGGGAGGTATGAAGAAAGGAGGAGGAGAAGAAGAAACATGACAAGACTGTGAAAGCAGTTTAAATCATGCGGGATCACACTAGGTACATAGATCAGGCGGCAATGGCTGTCAAATGTCGAGATAAGGACAGAAAGCGATCGAACGGTTTGCAGGCAGGCTTCTTTGAGAAGTCGATCGATGAGAGAACATTCTAGAGAGGCCTG